TTAATTCAGGACCTGGTGTTTCTCACTGCAGTGAAGACAATGGCTTACAAATACGACTATTAATATTTTGTCTTCATTTAAGTTAATTGCCATAATAACCAAATGACTTTGAAGTCATTTTTGTTGTTGAGTATTTGAATATTGTATAATGGTCACCTTAGGACCAGGGTAGATATGAGTGATACCTCCCATAGTGGTATGCAGATGCTTTTAAGATTCATGTCACCAGAATCTTAGGTCTGGGCAAACCTGGTTCTGGAGACTCTTTGTGTCTGCAGGACTTCATTCCAACTCAGATCTTAACAAGCTCATCAGCTCATCATCAGTTTCACAGGAGCAGTTTAACAGCTCCTTCCAGCTCTTCAGGTGCAGGTTATGTAAAGAGACCAAGAAAACCTGCAGACACACCGTCTCTCCTGATCAGAATTGGCCACCACCACGCTAGACCATCTGAGGTGATAACTGGAGAGTCTGTAGGCCTTCTAGTATTTTTTTCTTTGTCCCACTTAATGTTCCCCTGCATATTTGTAGTCTGTATTTGGTTATTGTTAATGTTGTTGCTGGTATAGATCTCTCATTACATGAGTTTTCTTTCTCTGATCATTATCTCATTTCTTTTACCCTTATCATTGGCTGTCTCTGTTATTACAGTTTTCTAAAGAATCTTTATGTAACCTGCACGTTTTTGCACCAGTGCCCCAATCAACACATACTTGCTCAGTTACAATTAATAACATTTAGCTCATTTGCATAACTGACACTAGAACTCCAATGCAATCTGAACTCCTTTCACCCAAAAGCACAGGTGCCCTTCCCACCCTGATGATATTCAAAAATCATATGGCATATGGATATGGATATGGCAATATTCAAAAAACAAAACTCTGGCCCTCCTGTATTTGTAAACAGTCTTTTATTGGATTTTCTCAGTGCTGTTGTATTGGTTGCACTCCTGCCACTGTAATGTTTAAGCAGAAATGCTGTGTTGTGATGTTCTGACTGAATTGCTGATTTTTAAACGGTCCACATTCTCATTCTGTGAATCATATTGGGGGTGATTTTCTGCCATGAACCACAGTCTGGAAATATAACAATGGTCATGCAAATGATACCCGAAGAAAGTAAAAAAATTATGGTATACTGTCCTAAAAAAACATTTGTTCAGCTTCAGTTTGTAGGCGATGAAATGATTTTCTTTACTTACCTTAATGTCTATTATGCTTAGGCTTTCTTGGAGCATTAGTGACCACATAATGATAGAGTATAATAAGAAGGAAGACTGTAACTCCCAGCATATTGGCAAATATTGCAAGGTGGAAATCCTCAATCATTCTGAGAAAACAAAGAAACATCTGAGGGTGATTACGGCGTAAATGTCCACACTTAACATGAATACATTACTAGACTGACTGATCATTATAATGAGATCTCATCAGACCATTTTGCTTTTACGATCTGTACATACTGTATATACATATTTAATATTAAATTAAAAAACAACACGAGTGTCGGGGTGTTTGTAGAAACTATAATGTCCTCTCATATGAAATTGCAGACTGATATCTGTTTTTTCTGTATTCAACAGCCCACATGGCACACTGCATGTCAAGTCTTACAGACCGATAAAGCTTCAAGCTCTCCATCAAGCATTCAGGTTGTGTAATTTTGAGCACAGACCCCGTTACATCCTGCTATGTTATAATTTCAATAAATGTAGAAAGATTGAGAGTATAAATTCTGATAAACCGGTGCCGTATCATTTACAGCTTTCGCCGTAAAAGGTGTGCTTTTTCTCTCGAAACACAGCGTCCGCAATGAATGAAATTGCTGTCCAAACACAATTTCTAACTTGTCTCAATTGC